TCTACTACTACTACTACTACTACTACTACTACTACTACTACTACTGGCACAATCATCACCACCACCACCACCATCACAACCACCTCCACCCTCACCGCCACCACACTGCCACTGCCGCCGCCACCACCACTAGCACCAAAAACCCCGCCGCCGCCACCAGCACCACCACCGCCACCAGCGCCACCACCGCGACCGCGATTGCAACTGCGACCGCTACCACTACCTTTTACACCAACACCACTGCCAACAGGGCTACCGCCACCACAACACCACGGCTTCAGCGATCACCGCTGCGACTACGACGCCTGCTAAACATGTTAATTTACTTTCACCGTTCTCGTACCTGTACTTGTTGCCGTGTACCCTGTTACGATCATCATTTGACCAAGTAAAGAACAAAGGAGGAATGCCCCAAAACGTAGCCGTGCATAGTGTCATCGTAGAAGCGTGCCGAGAGTCATACAAGGGCAATTGCAGGATGCCTTCATCGACCTTGACATCAAGAATGGAGCTCGTCCTGAGCGCATACGAGCGATGCAGGCAAGATCGGACTTGACAGTGCTTCTAAACAGTTTGGCCCTGCTTCTGTCCGTGAAAACCCCCAGCGGAATAGACTGTTGATGACTTTGGGCAGTCTCCCAGGAATTCGGGATCGAATGCATGGGTAGAATGCAGAGTCTGCCTCTTGCTGCGTTGTGCAGATCGACTCAATTCAGCGAGGTTCAGTCCATGAATTTGGTAGTGGCCTAGGTGTGTCTATCGTCTCCGAAGACATTTACGCAGGAGAACGGTCTTCACGATGCAGCTTGCTGGCAGAGAACAGGGAAGGCTGCGAGCTTTGTTTAGCCCGAGTGATGACAACCAACAATAGCACAGATGCTAATCATGCCTGGCACAGAACAGCTCAGCGGTCGCTGAGTCGCAAGAATCCGTTGTTTAGCCCAGCCAGCATAGTGACTAATACTGATAATAACAGACATAGAACGATCATGACCATCATCACTCCTACGCAGCCGCCATGAGCATCACCATCAGCGTCTTGTCTTCGTCAACATGTTCGCCACTGCGATGCACGTCTCCATCATCTCTCGTACCGCTACACGTCTCATGCTTCGTCACCACCAGCAGCATTGTCAGCAGCGCCGCTAGCACCAACCATCAGCACAGCATCGTCTGGATGACGATGCTGATGATAACGGTGATGATGAAGATGGTCATCGTTATCATGTTCGTTGGGGCTAGCAGGTGTCTCTTTCTGTTGACACGATTAGTTTGCGGGGTCTCAAAGGAGTTGCCTGCTACACAGCTTGTGCTGGTTGGAACTTGTTTCCCGGCCGTGATGTGAGGTGGAGAGTGCCACTTGCCTTGGAATCCTCTCGCGGCTTTCTCTTTCGGACGAAATCCCTGCGATACGACTTGGTCAGCCGGGCGGGTGGGAAAATCGTCATCATTAGCCGTACAGTACCATCGCTGCATCGTCATGATCTTCCGGTTGGTCTCGCGAAACTGAGGCTCCTCCCAACGTCAAACCGCGAGCTTCGCGAAAGAGCCACGTTGGATGCATTCACAGTGATAGAGGTCGGATAGCGTACGCCGAAGGCTTCTAGAGCTGAGTGCTTCAATGTCCGCGTTTGAGTTCAGGAGTATAATGCTTACGCAGCTGTGTTGGCTTGGCTGTGTCCTGTTGCATTTGGATCAGGGGTGTGGAACGTTGTGTGTGGGTTTGTGTTTTATACTGATTTTCCAGAGGCTTGTACTCGGCGGCGGAGCGAGGGTCCCAGTCCCAAGCAGTCAGAATCAGGTGAAGTTCGCATGCCGTCCATCGTGGCCACCAGTCCGCCCATAGGCCTTGCATTGCGTATCCGGGAGTGGACCACCTCATGTGTGTCAGGGAGAACTGATACATCCTGCGCTTAAGCTCTCTCGATCATGACCAAGATGTGGTTTTATCGTGTCGGTTGTTGTGTCCGTCGCTTGCGTCATTAGGCCTTGCTTGAGCGAAGTTCTGGGGGCATCAGCCTGTGACTTGCAAGCGCAATCCTCGGGCATCTCAGATTCAACTCCACTCCTATCCCCAACCCGCGTGTGCTAAACTTGCCAGTTGGACTCTCCTTTTCCACAATGTTAGTTGCAACCAGCAGACTTTACCAACGCCTCTCTGACAAACACCTTTGGGCCCATGGGCTTGCAGAACTACGAGTGCATTGTGGCATGGCATGTGTGCCTCTGCACAGTGCTGTCGTAGAAACAGATGGTTCCTGCATGGTCCGATGCAGGGAATGGAAAGCCACCAGCCCCCCCGCCGGAAGGCCGGCTGCAATAGCCTGCATTGATGTGGTGATAACCTCTTGCTTTGTGAGTCCAATGCTTTTCCTCTCAGGGAGGCCTCCGGCGGAAGTCGCAGCAGTGGCTGGGGAGCCGGAAGGCCGTATGTGTGGAATCGACAGGGCGTGACAGTGTCGTGCGATATCAATCTCAATACGTTCTTTGATGCTCCATTGATCCGAACACGAGTAATTATGTTGCATTGCGCACGAATAAGCCACCAGTACAACAGCAATAAGAGTTGCTACAAAATGGCAAAGCGCACACTGCGAATCAAGACGTGTTTTCACTGGCATTTCACGCTTCTTTCCATGCAGCCGAGTCCGTAATTCGCAGCTCCACCACCGCACTTCGTGCAGCTTCCGCGAGCCTGAGTCTCTGTGAAACTGAAATCAAGAGTTAAACCAGTTGATGTGGTCCTTCTGTTTCAGACTTTTCTGCATGATCATTCAGCAGAGCTGTGCTGACCGATGCTTTTGAGACGCAAGTCAGGACACTGCATGCGTATTGGTGCTTCCTTCGGCTACTGCAAACAGCACCTCATGATTTCGCTAGCCATGACATAGAACCATAGATTGTCGTGTTCGTTGTCTTGGAACGAGACTTTAAGCTACGTATCAGAGAAGATGAGGCACTTGTTGCTTCTGATGATGATGATGATGACAACGGTGATGATGGCGGCAGTACGAATCGTCATCTCCAAGATCACGAAGGGGATGATGATGATGCTGATGATGGTGAGGGATCATTATAGTGGTGGTACCGGTAGTAATGAGATGACGGGACAAGGAAGAAGCTTGATGGTTTGCACTTTACGCGCATGTATACATGCGCGCATACATACATAATAATATACATCCATACAGAATATACATCCGTACAGCATACATGCATGCAGACATTCACTCATACATTAATCCATTCGTACGTTCGTGCACTCGTACACTACGCATATGATATGCTACATACATACATGATGCATGCATGCAAACAGCCAAACACAGAATCGCAAATAAACCAAAGGCCGCGACACAAGCAAGCAAGCAAACAAACACGCAAGCACGCAAGCAAGCAAACAACCAAGCAAAGCAAGCTAGCAAGCAAACAAGCCAACAAACAGTCAACTAAGCAAACAACCGCACAACGACAAACAAACACAACACACAAGCTCAAACAATCAAGCGCATGCAAACAAACCGGCAAGCAACCAACCAAGCAAACCAACGTACAAAGACACAACCAAGCAAACAAGCAAAACACACAATCAGAACCAGACAAACGAACAATCAAACAAGCACAGAACACAAACACACAATCAAACATAGACACAATTAAAGCCAAACAAACAATCAACGCCAAACAAGCGAAAACAAAAGCACAAGCAATCACAAAGCCAACAACAAAAGCAAAAGCAGAGACACAAACACAAACACACACCCACACACAAACAAAAACACACAGACACACAAACACAAACACACTCGCACTCACAAACACAGCAACAAACAAACAAAAGCAATCAAACAATCTAGCATGCATACATACATGCATGCATACGTGCATACGTCAATGCACGCCATGCACTATCCTTGCAGGGAAATCCATGCACTGCTTTGACAGCGGGCGTGGCCCAGTTGTCCCACAAGAAGGCTGGCATTCGGCATTTCATGGGTTTGGGGGATGGTTTGGGATGTAGAGGTAACCTTCAGTTCAGTTCAGTATTTGATATGATTGGGTTTTCGCAAGCGCGAACCGGCCCAACAGCTTTCAGAAATGAGGGCTACTTTGAGAAAGGACTCTGTAAGTAGCTCGTTCAGGACAGTTTCCAGAGCAACAGTTGAACTACACTGCTAAGTCTAGACTAAGAAAACATCGTATACAGAGTTTCAATCCAATCTGCCAAAGGGCCCTTCGTAAAGTCGCGCCTGGTTCGACACAGCAACATGTGGCGAAGACTGGTGAAACGGCATTAAAGTGCTCGTGTGGTGCTCTGTCCTGGGCTTGCTGTCATCTAAACAAGAGGTCAATATGCGTACTTTCGGAAGGCTTAGTCGCTTTTGAACATCCTGTTTTCAGCAGTGCTAGCTACAGTATTCCAGAACTGGACGTCGAAACGACTCAAAGGACCTAGTGCAATCCTCTGGCTCCAGACAGAGCACTAGTGCAAGCAAGCCACTCGGCATTCTCCGTTGCTGACTGTGAAGGGCCTGAGTGTGTCAGCGCTGTCTCACGTTCGCCCTCAGCTGCTGCTCCTCGTCACGCAAGAGGAGTTGCTGTTCCGGTTGAGCGATCGGTTTTGGGTTGTCTGCGGGCATTTGCGGAGTACATGGCAGAAAATGCCACAGGAGCTCGGGATTTAACGTGACATGTCTGGATACCGGAGTCCCGGGTTTGGTTGTTGGCCCGCGCAGAAGCCATAGACAGCATGTGCAGAGAGAGACAGGCCGCACAGGCCCCGTTACTTCTTCTTCTGCTTCAAGGCATCATCTGCATTTCCTTCAAGGCAAAAACTCGAGTGATCCGCTGGTAGCGCAGGACTCGCTCGGGCACGCGGTGCCCAGCAGGGTGGGAATGGAAGGGTGGGGCATGCCCGCCGCTCCCAGAAAGAAGGGATCCGCAATCGAGGAGAGAAGGATACTGTGTGACCAGTCTGTTGCGCTTGTGTCCTTGCCCAGATGACGGCAATGACCAACGCTTCTCCTGATTCGCACGGATCTCAGAAATCAGCCCATGCGTCTTGAGAACGCATGCGGTGTCTTCTCCACTTGCAGCTGTGTGTCGAGCCATAGCTGCAGCCAAGCATAACTATGGGAGACCCCTTAAATAGGACCCTTCGTAACCCTACTTCTGGCTCTCGTAAAAAGGTCCTTATTGCGACGGTCTGTATCCCCAAGGGTCTCCCTATTCCCACCTCGATAAACTGTTCAGTCTCATTCCGAGGTCACCCGTTGCTGGCAGCAGTGTGGCCAGCAGCAGTACGGTGTACAGGCCAATTGCCGCGCATGGCTCTGTTGTGAACCGACGCGAATTGCGATTTTTGCCCACACTCATGTGCAAAGACGTGTCAGCAGGAACCTCCCAGCTGAAAAATTGTTCCTGGGCACTGGCCTGGAGAATGTCACCCGAAGGAAGCCCAAGCGAGGTGGGCTTCAGCTGACTTGATTTAGCACATGTGAGTCCAAAGCCTTAGGTCTAGTTTTGTGCAGGTAAGTGCCTCGTGCGAGTTGCTCTCTTTTTTTGAAATCGCTGCTGTAGATCCAACTTCCAACTCTTGTGCTACCCGGTTCTTACGCGGAGTTGCTTCACGCTGTTCGGCTCGAGCACAACTTTTCATGGCCATGTTAATTCAGGCGCGTCGTGTTGTTGGGACAACCGGCCATACCGAATCTGGCCTATCTGCCCAGATCACGAATATTCACGACTTGTGCCAGCGCAGGTTCCGACAGTGTTATCATCTCCGGGCCACTGGCAGGTCATCCTGGGAGGGAGGGACGCCTTACCAAAACGTCTCTATATATTGATTGCCGTGCGTCGCACCCTCTGTTCTAAAGGAGCTTCTCACGTACCCTCCCGTAAGTCCTAAGTGTATCCCAGTTGGCTTCTCGCCTTGCTCTTTCTGGTCTTCCGTGGTGTTGACGGGACCGAAGAAAGGAGCCGTGCCAGGTGGAGAGATCCGGTTTTCCGGTGAGTTCGATGCTGCAGGTGAAGAGCCGCTTGGTTTCATCAGCAGCTTTGTGCGGCGTAGTGACGGCGGAGGCGTCCTGGGTCCACGGGGCCACGTTCCGGCCGGAACAGGAAGCAACGGGTAGTTTGTTGATGTTTTTTCGAAATCTATTGCGACCGACGAAGGGGAATCGGAACCCACACCTTGTTTCCAGCCGAGGCCGGACAGAGGCAGCCGCGAAATGAAAGCATCGAGATGCCAACCGGTTTCCTCTGCACGCCCGAATGTTGTGTCGGACATGAGGTCCACAAAGGAATCCTTAATGAAAAGGCACCGAAAGTAGATACCCCATTTTGAAGAACGCTTGCCCATGTGGGGTTGGGGGTGATTCTGAATCCAAGTCCAAGGGTTCGACAGCAACTCCTTGCTGTCCTCGGCTTCAGCCTCTTGGCAGACGGGGCACACACAGTGGGCGCCACTAGCTGTTCGGGAGCCTTGGATTTGTGGTTTAGGGCTTTACGGTCTTTTCGGGACATCGCCTCGAGGCTGGCAGTAGTTGCAATGGCAAGGTGCTGCAAAAGCGGTATTTGTCACAGGAGGGTGCATAGCCAGAGAAATTCACTGCCATACATGAGGCACCATCGATGTCTGCTCAACGGTGGCTCTTTTGATTGAGCTATGACCGCAGGCTCCAGACAGCCGTCTAGACCCAGATGCATGAACTGCAAACTCCACTGCTGTTCGCAGTTGTGGCGATGGAGCTCTTAGGACTTAGGAATTGGGCCTACTTTCGTAGCTGATGCATAAAGACCCGCCATCCCGCGAGAGGTAATTGGGGAGGTCCGCATAACCGTCATGACTGTACTGCAGTCTAAGGTGCCAGGTCAAAGGTGGAGAAGATGCAGGGCTTTAGCGGAGGCTGGAGACAGAGCTTACGCTTCACTCGATATGCATGGGGAGATGGCGGGCAATCATCTCGGGAAGGATGTGATGTTGAGAAGACAGTGGTACAAGATAAAGAAGCTACCGGGAACAGTGCGACACTATGACTATGAAGCAGGCCGTGGTGTTGATACGTGCTCTTTTCGGACACACGTTGGGTTCCGAGCAGATTCATGTGGCGGCGGTGCTTCAACTGGTACAGGGAGCGCTGCTCCTCAACCCTCCCCCAACGTTCGCGAACGCGCGTTCCTGCAAAAGCCCGTTGTAACGCCTAGGATACCAGGCTCGCAGGGAACTAATTCGCTCTGGTTCGCACTTGACCGATGTGCATGTCGTAACCAAGGGAAGAAGACAATTTTTGCATTCGCCTTTCGTCATGCAACTTTGGTTTTCCTGCCTGGATGTAGCCAGTGCTGGGACAGGCTGCTCGATGACACAGGATGATGATGATGATGATGATGGAGATCCTGGTGGTGGAGCTTGCTGTTTTCTCGTCTTCTTGTAGTTGCTGTTGATTGTGGTGGGTGTCGTGGTGACCGCCATATCTGCATTTTTGATTGGTCTGTTGCTGATTCGTAGTGGTCTCCTCTGCTGCTGCCAAGCTTGGCCAGGTCTCAACCATGGCATTTGGTTCCTTTCTGGGACCTGTGGTGAGGTTGGAAGCGACTACGAGGCCCGTATACACCCTTCCAATGTGAATGTGATGCGCTTTTGGTTTGGGGCCTGGGGTCTATAGGCTCTATAGGCGCCCGACTGGCCGGGTTGCCTTGTCCAAAGTTCTTGCAGGAACTGGTGCTGAAGCTGGTTCGGTGTCATCGCATCGCCGACAACGTGCGGACCTCGACTTCAAGCCGTCTTTCCTTGCCTTGGACACGCCACTTTGCCACGTGCTTCTAGTCAGGTTCCCACAGAAGCCGAGAATCTTGTGAAGGTTCACCGCGAGCACTCAAGCATTAGCAACCCCGGCAGAAAAGACTGGTTGTGGTTTGAGCTCACTTCTTGATCATTGCTCTGTCGCAAATCCGCGAAGTAATAGCTAGGGGGGGGGGGGGGGGGCGTGTTTGACTTCCGGCAGCGGTGCAGCGAGATTATTGCGCCGGAAGCTGCAGAAAAGGAACCAACATGAAGAGACACTAGGAGTGGAGTGGCTGCTGGCTGTGCGGAGGTAAAGATGAGATCCTCGCCTTTCCTATCAAAATCTTCAGCAGCTGACCTCAACGGTCTGGGGGAGGATTAGTTGCAATGTCGCTTGGGATCTTCTTCATCATGTCATCAGAGACACTATGGAAGTTCCGAGAAGCAAGGGCATCTGAATGCCCCCAGTTTCATGTACCCGAATGCAGCGTGCAAGCTCTTCGCATCTCGGCTGCTTCGGAGCAAGGGAAGAAACAACTGAGTTCCTTAAAGTGTCCAGTCATCGTCCCTGGTACTAGATTACATCTCCTGTCCGACCCACGAAGTAGGCTGCTTCGCAGCTCGTTCGTTTGCGCGAGTCCTTCCATGAAGCTGACACGGATGGACCATCCGCATGTTCAATCTGATGTCCTCACCCTCGAGGCTGTTTCGATGGGCCCACGAAGAAGCACGATCTTATTGCAGGGCACTCGGCAGGCGAAGAAAGTTCCAGTTCCGTTGCAAGCCTTCAGTTGCCATAACTATTTGCTTACACGTCTCTCGCTCTCGATGACCCCGAAGAGAGAACTTCCAGCATCTTGAGGACTCAGTTCCCACCTAGGTGATGCGAAAGGTCCCAGGCGAGCGACTCGCCGAAGTCATTTGCCGAAAGTTCTACAACAACCAGGCCAGGCCCGTGGAAACTTCTCACTTCAAAGGGGCCCAGGCTCCGTCAAGTCAAGCTGTTCGGGACTGGTAGGTATGACGGTTTTGTGGGTTCCATGCTTGCACAGCTTTTTCCAGCTCCGTTCCTGTGAGACCCGCGCAGTTGGCTTTGCTGGATGCCATTTTCGAGAACCTCGGGGCGACTCTGGCCTCGTTCCACGAGCGCTACGGCAAACAGCATGGGGACGGCTGACTGTGTGGTGAGCATGTTGCAAGCCGGAATTTTCTTTGCGAGACTTAAGACTACTTACATGATAGCTGGACTTGACTAGATCAGCCAGCAAAGAAGCTTCTAGCAGGAAGCGAGGAGCCGCTGCGTACTCGGAAGAACAGTCCATGTTTCGATTTAGAAGAGATCGATAGGTCGGCACGTCTCAGCCTGCCCAGCGTGCAGTTTTTTGGGAAACCGCCGGTTCTGAGCCTGCGATTGCTGGTGCAACGAAATCAAGTAAGTGTAAGTGTAAGTGTGTGTAAGTGTAAGTGATCCTCTCATTCGGTATCTTGATAGTTCGAATTTCATGGGACATGCAGGGTGTTGCTGATGTGTCTTGACTGAGCTGCTACCACAGTCCTAGAAGCTACAACAGATGTCTGGCCACAAACGACATGGAAATTGAAAAGGCATAGGCCAAAACCATTTGCTCCGTGTGTTCGTAAGAATCAATACGACGACGACGGCGGCGGCGGCTACTACTGCTGCTTCTGCTGCTGCTCCGAGTGCTAGAAGCACTACCACGCAACTGTTCAAACTGTTTTGGTTGCCAGGTTTGCCCGGGTTTCATGATTGTACCTTGTCACCCTTCTGCCACACGTGGAGGCAGCAGTCTAGTTTGAATTGAATCTCCCTGTGACATGCAGGACTTTCAGCCATCCAATATCTTCTACGACGATGCCACGGACGATGTCTACTTTATTGTCTCTTCGATGCACTTAATGTGTGAAGAGCATGCGCATTGAAAAGGAACTCACAGAAGCGACAGTTGCAGACATCCGTGAAGCTTCAACCCAACATGGGCTACTATATAGCCACACCCATCTCCGGCCTGGCTGCCGAATTGACTTTCTACTTGCCGACTTGCCCAGCTACCCACTTCATGTCGTTCAGTTTCTCAGTCAGCAGCTGCCCTTCCCCCTCGTGTGAGGATATCGGCGGCATGGGACTCCCCACGTCGGACACGGATGTGGAGCTTTGGCGTGACGAAAGCAAAATCGTGTCCTCTTTTTCTCTTTTGGCACAGATATGGTATTGCAGGAAGGGAGGACGGTACCAAGCCCAAGGCGGCAATAGAATGCTGGGGCCAATCATGGCTGGGGCTTTGCGAGCACCCGAGGAGCATTTCCGAGGAGCGATGACCCTTCTGGCGGGCGCCTACAGCCCGACATTGCCTGGGCCCCTACAGAAATTCGTCATTTTTTTCATTCTCAGCTCGACAACCGAAGCAAGTCTAAGCCAGTCTGGAGGCACGAAGAGCTTGCCGAAGCCTTTCAAAGAGGCTATGGCCCTGCCTGACACTGGCGTGCCCTACTTGCATCAAGTTGCAGAAGGATGGTCTTTGCAACGAGATGTTGCGAGGCAGGTGTACTCCGAACTGTTGGCTCTTCTGGATGCTGCTTGAGATGTGCGGATGTCGACAATACAGATGCTTTGACCCCGTAGCTCCCGAGCCTCACCGGAGTCGGAGATGCCTTCCCAGGTATGCAGACCTTTGTCGCTAGGTAGATTTGATCAGCGGTTTGATTTGGCCGCACGTCCCCCTGAGGCGAATTGGGGTTCAGGCCCCGTGTCCGTGAATGCATCCGGCTAGATGATAGGGCGGGAGCCAACACGTAAGTGGTGCGGGGTTCGAGCGTTTGAAAGCATATGTTGGCAGACGTTGCTGCACAGTGATCGCGTGATGCAGCCAATACGTCATTACAGCTTCCTTGAGTGAAACCACACACGGCGTAGCAACTCAACACAGACAGCCCCTGCCTTCGCTCTCATCCATCTCAGCTTCAATGTATTCCGAGTATTCCACCCTCGACTTGTTTTTCGTTTTTCGGCTACGCAATCGGGAAGTGCTCCGAGCCGCATGGCTCCCACCCTGCAGGGCTCTCTTTTCTGCAGGCTGCGACAGTCACAGCAATCTGTTAGGGAATAGGCTTCTACTAGCGGTTCGTCCTGAAGCCAAACCTGTTCTTACTGACTTATATACTGCAGCAAGATAGTTAGAGTTCAGTGGCTGGGGCAGAGCTAGACGAAAAGGTGCCTAGCCTCCGCAGTGGACTCGGTCAGCAAGTTCCGAGCAGGGAGTAGTTCAGCTGCCAGGGTCAAGGCTAAGGGAAGCTTCATAAGCCCGGGCGAGACGAGTATTGCAAACTGATGAGCTGCGCGTCTCTGGCACGGCCACTGCGGATGAATCTGCACACGTAGCTCTGGAACTTCCCGGAAAGCGCTCTATCCACAGAGCACAGAGGTTCACGAACGGTCATGAACAGTTTGGGGCGAGACCGGCCAGAGCTGCGGCTGTTTCACATCTACCAGAGGGCACCAGACTCTCGGAGACGGCTCCAGGGGGCCTGGCGGGTTTTTTGGTGTCAGTAAGGGGGCATGAGGAGGAAAGCAAGTCCAAAGCCTTTTGCATGTTCCCGACTTGAGCCGAGCCAAGCCCATTGAGCGACCTCGACCGTGCCAGACGAAAGACAGCCGCATTGTTGTAGACTCCTGTGGACAGTTGTTAGAGTCCCGTATGTTCCAGGAAAGAACCTCGCAAGCGTCCTGCTTAAATGAGACTGCGGCTGTGAGAGCAGACGGATGTGGTTGACCTGGTGGTGCTGGAGCTGACGCTTTGCCTTGGCCCTGCACATCGGGCTCAGGTTCAATATTCTAGCGAGTGATACGCAGGGACATTCACAAGGATCGGCGCAGCCAATTTTTGAAAAGAGTTGCACAAGGAGCCTGCAAACATGCATGTAGAATTACCTAGCCGATCACCAGCATTTGTTCGTAACTTGCTGAGTGAACCTACCTTCGCTTTCCAAGAAGCTTTCGCGGAACCAATGCAACTTTTGCATCGATGTTCTTCTCGTCCTAGCCTGATGTTGTAACTTCTGAGCTTTCTTGCCGGAGCCAATGTCTTCGGGCCCGCAATGGGTGCCGGATGCATCCGTGCTACAGCAGCCGTCTCGTCGCCGCTAGACACCACCACTCGCAAGGGTTTGATCTACAGAACTGCCGTGATGTGCGGAAGTCAGAAGCCTGCAGCCAGAAGTTTTAAGACCGAAGGTTTCGATCTTTTAACCCCTCGACTCGTGCAGTCCACGCTTCCTGTTGGTTGATGCATCATGTCAGGGAGCGCTACAAGCTTACGATTGAGCCGCCGACGGACGGAGACGATGTTACGGCAGCCACTCCTGCCACACCCAGTGCAGAGCGAGACCCTCAAAGCTTTGCGGAAGTGGCATAGTGTTCTCGGTTATGTCGTAGCCACTGCGAACCTTTTCTTGCTTGCTTTATTGCTATTCGCACGGTTATGTTTGGTGCTTTGGGTTCAGTGCTCACCAGTGGCCATCAGACCCGGTGCACAGCGGCGGATGCCTGCATGCAGAGAGGTTATTGACAGCTGATTGGTTGTTCTTGTCAGTTTCCTTTCGCGTTGAAGCCACATGCAAGTATATTCTTGTTGCTGTTGCCGAAATCTTTTTCTGTGGCGATGGTTGGTGCATCTCGCTAGAAATGTTGCCACGTTGATTTCTCGCCATGTGTATCAACATCTGGTGCTCTCCCTGGTATGTTATTCCTACATCCAGGACCACGTCCTTCGATTGCATCCTCGTTTCCCCCGGCGTTTTGCCGCTTCCCTCCTAGGCCATCGGCCGCCGCCAGCCCACCCAGCTCGCCTTGCGGCAGTCGCTCGGTGGGGGAGCTCAAGGCCGCACTTCAAAGCCCCGTAAGAAGAAGAGAGACTCCTGAGAGAAGAGAGAGAGCTTGGGATTCAGGGCCATCTACGAATGGTTTACGGAGTGTCCAGCCACGCACACCCCGAAAGACAAGGGCGCACAGACTTGTCGCACCTGAGCTGTGCTGCAGAAGGGAGGGAATCGAGTCTGTATTCAAGCTTGAAGGATTGAGGGGTATAGCATTTGAGGTTTAGTGGTTTTGGTTGCAGGGTTTAAAATGTGAATTCGTCGAGGGTAGTATTCAGTGGCTTGCACAGCATTGTGTAGGCCTGTTGTCAGCCTGCGGGGTTCGCCGATGGCCTTCCAAGAGTCAGCAACGGGTTCGGCAGTAGCATGGCAATGCTACCTCACATTACAAAGTTTTTCCATCGGAGAAATATCGAGCAGCAGCAACAGTTAGCAGCAACAGAAACACCAGCAATCAGCGACGTTGCAGTAGTGCTAGCAGCAATGGCGTCGAACGGGTATTTTCCTGAAGCCTCGTATCGGAGGCAACTTTGAAGGACATGGGCTGGAAGCTGCCTGCCAATGTAGTGGAGCTTCTCGGTGGCACTGGCAGCAATTGACAAGAATCGGTTTAGAGTACCGCATAAGAGCTGGCTGGACCAGGCTTTGCGCCACGTGCGCTGGTGCTTGGGTACTTGCCATAATAAAATATAATATAACAAAATACAATATAATGGAATATAATATCATATAATATAATATAATATAATATAATATAATATAATATAATATAATACATTATAATATAGTAGAATAGCGTTTGCTGTGTTCGCCAGAGGCTTTAACTGGAGCCAAGGGCCGCCGACAACATGTTACCCCCAAAAAAGCTGCGCTGCCAAAGATCATTCGGGCATTTGCTTGGTGCCGAGGAAGAGTGAGCTTTTGGCTTTAGTCGAAGAAGCCGAAAAGCAGAAGGCCAGGATGTCATCGAAGATGCGCAGAGATTTAGGAATTGGGCATATGACCTTCTCAGCTTCAGATTCAGTGATATGCAACGAGGTTTTTTGATTTCTAATGACACTGGCATGAGATGATAGTTGCACAGGGCGGTGCTCCGCTCACAGGGGCAGGCATAACTCAAAGGCCGTTGAACTTGTGAAACTGAGCGTGCCTTGGATGTGGGACGTGAGTGCCAGGTGCTTCCGATATATTTGATTGCTTTTGTGCCAGATTCCCGACAACCACTCGACCACCTACCCGAAACCCGCCTCAACCCATTGTCCAAGTTCAGCGCAATATGTCGTTCTGTTGATCGGTGCACCCACAAATTCGGATCAATCATCGTTGCGAAGTTTGATTTGAACTCGAATGACTAGAATCCAATCTTGGGTAAGATGTGACCGAGGCAGGCAACAATCAGCATAGAGTCTCAGCCACAGAGGGAGACAGAGATAGAGACAAAACAAACCTAATATATTGTACCGTACAATAGAATACAATACTATACTATACATTGCCGGCTATACTAGGCCATGCCATGCCATGCCATGCCATCATGGCATGCCATGCCATACTATAATATACCACAAAATACAGCAAAACATAACATAATATACTGCAATGATAGCATAGTACAGTACAACACAGTACGATACAATGCGATACTATACGCTGCGGTATATTACAATACAACGTGGTCTAACATGTTACAATGCAGCATGGTATAGTATATTTACACAATGCCACGTAGGTTGAGACAGTACAGACATAATACAGCGTAGCGTGATCTAATCTGATGTAACCTAATGGAATGCAAAAGAATAGAGCATATACATATATGCATATGTATATAGCTATTTATCTCTTTAGTGAATGTCAGAATAATAAACATTTAGATGACAAGAGACATAAACACACATACGAAATGAAGAGATAAGTAAACATATGTATATACATATGCATATATACATAAAGATGTTCATGTTCTGGCCGTATTTATTTATCGATTTATTTACTCATGTTTAACGATAGATAGATCGATAGATAGACAGATAGATAGATAGGACCAGAGAAAGAAAGAGATTGACAGCAGAGGCAGCCAAAGATGCTGCACGAGCCGCTTCTCCTGCAGGTTGGAACCCCGGGCTTCAGGGGTAGTTGTGTTGGGGGCTTCCATTTTGTGCAAGACTCCTTTGTTGCAAACGGAGCTACTCGGAATTTGGCAAAAGCAAAGCTGTGAAATCAGCGGCTCGGGATGTGTGGTCCGTGCTTGGAGGCTTCAAGGAGACATCAAGTCAGTCTGTGGCGGGAATGAAGCGTCGGCTGAAAGAGCCAGAGCCCCAGTTCACCAATTCGGGGTCGCATCTTGAAACTTGAGCCATTCGTGACTTAACAAGTTTCTGTTTGCCGGTGTTGTGCTGCGAGCAGAAGACGACATCGATTGCTGGCCTAGATCGCCGATCTGCCCGAAGGTGGTGCACTGGCTTCCGAGCCAGCATGTTGGGTTCGACCTGCATGAGACCATGCCGTAGGTCCTCCTTCCAGATTCTCATGTCTGTGTGGTTCATTTGCATGCTCGATTTGGGGCACGTTTCGTGCTGCCAAGGCTCGGTTTCAAGGTGCCAAGCAGCATCGTGGAAAAGAGCGAGTGGCGCGGTTGAAGAGTGCTGGGACATGTCACCAGAGAACCGGCATACAACGATATTGGGAGAGCTACAGATAAAGGGCTTGAGCAACAGCCTGGAGAAGTGATTTCCACTTGGGAGTGTGATAGAGCCCAGCCAGCCAATCTAGCCCCACCAATGGCACAACCTGGGTTAACATGAAGCAACAGGAAACTCCCAACACAAAGCACTCCACGTAGCAGCCTAGCACTTCTGAAAGACAACAGCAACGATGTTGATGATGATGATGATGATGATGTCGGCCATATATTCTAATCCCCGTCAGTCTGGTGATTCATCTTGGGTAAACTATCCTGGCTTGGACTCATGGGATGTGGTTGGAATCCGGCCGGACAAGCTTGGAAGCGCCACTTTCTTGCGAGGCTCCAAGCACTGCTTGATGAAGCCGAGCATCAAGCGAAAGCTTGGCAGACGGGCGCAGGCCTTCATATCCACGCAATGCTCGTTAAAAATTCAGAAAGCGCACAGACATGCAAACCAGTGGGCAACAAGTTTATGGTCATATATAAAGGTATAGGAGCACGTACTTACTCATAAATGTTACGTATCAATGTAGAAACGGATGAATGTGTGCATACATACACATATGCATATACATACACGTATACATATACATACACATATACAAAAACATACAAATGTACATACATGCATGCATACCTATGCGTACATCATTTTTCCAAAAAACAAATATACATATTTGTATATATATACAAATGTCTATTCCTATGCCAATTCCTTTGCCTATGTGCACTTAGGCATTTATGTTTTTGCATATATATATATATATGTATGTATTTATTTGTGTATGTACGTATGTATGTATGTATGTATGTATGGATGTATGTATGTATGTATGTATGTATGTATGTATGTATGGTTTGTATTGCAATGTAATGCAAAGCACTCGCTCAAGCGGGGGCACAGGTACTTAGCTCAGAGAGTAGCCAAGTTGCCTGCAGTGTGTTGCCAAGCAGTTGTGTGTTTACCCGTTTCGGCGGGGGCCCGGCGCGGAGCTCAGCAAGTTGTCAACTCAGTCTTTCAGTTCTGTTGAAAGTCGCAAGCGCTGCAGTCCCCAGGTTCAGGGCGGGGGTGTCCAGGCAGGCAGGTAGGAAGAGGCAGTGCTGTGCAAGGTTCGGGTTTTGTTCGGGCTGCAGGCGGGGGAGGCTTTGAGGTAGGGTTAAAGGTGTAGAGAGGTGTGGCGGGGGACGAAGTCGTAAGAGTACGTTCCAACGGGGGACCGCAACCCCGGCAGTCTCACGCCGACTTGTTGCGCTGGACGCAGTACAGACTGGAGCCCCTTCGGGGGGGAGGGCTGCGCCCTCTAGCTCTGTAGCAAGCAAGAGAAGAGAGAGATGACAAGGGGGGCTACCCTCTTGCCCCTAGCCCTGGCGAAAGAAAGAGAGAGAGATGAGGCCGGGGCGCGGGTTGGGGGTCCTAGTGTTCGGGGTCCGGGGCTTGCAACATGAAGCCTGGCACAGACTTAGTAAAACAGTGGGTTGTTGGGCGGGCTTAAAGCCTGAGGGTCGAATCGTCGACCCCTAAGCCCAGCAGAAAGAAAGAAAGAGAGAGAGAAGGGCTCCCTTCTGGAACTCCTCAGTTTCTCCTGTCTACCGTTTGGATGTTGTAAATGTCCCGTTACAAGAAGAATAGTATCCGCTGTAGAGGTAGAGCTGCAGGGTTGAGCGGAAGGTCGAGGTGATTTGCAGGGATCAGGCTTCCGTTCGGGCTCAAGCAGGGTGGAGGCAGGACAGGTGGGGTACCCAGTAGAGTAGAAGAAGTGGGGGGCACCAAGTGTGGTACAGAGGCTTTTCTGCAGCTACTTGGGGGGACAAGGCTTCCGTTCGGGTTGAAGGCAGAGGGCACAGGCAGGTGAGGTGGGTTTCAGGGCAGCAGCGAGAGAGTGGAGGCACACAACACTTCGCGGCTTTCTTATTGTGTTGACGTTCGACCTTCTAGGACAGCGCGCCGTGTCGTAGTACCAGCCCCCACGGAGGCACCACTGAAAACACAGAGCAGCTCTCACGTGCCCGGCGCACGACTCCGGGGGTCGCCTTGCAGTATAGCAGTTGTGAAGAGTGTTCATAGGCAGCTGTCTCAATTTGATATCGCCAAACGCCAGGGGACCCAGGGTTGAATGGAAGGTCTTGCCCCTAGCAAAATAACGCGAAGAGAGAGCACGAGAGAGTGAGAAGGACATAACACATATTGTACACAGAAGTACACAGAAGCAGTTGAATCATAGCAGCAATGCTTGGTGTGACAGGTCGAGGAGAAGTTTGTGGGTTTGCCGCTGTCAAACTAGCTTCAAGCAGTATCCGCACGCACGAGCTTCGCATGAAATGGATCCCGTTTTCAGTCTTGGCAGGCCGCCCCACAGCACCTCCCAAAGCGACAGCAGCAGTGACTTGTCAAATATGAGACAAAGCCAAGGCTAAGTCTTATAATTGGACGGCTTGCTGAACTTACTCCCGAGCAATCTGCAGCCCCTTGAGTTTGTTGGGTCTTATGCTCGTTGGATCGACAGGGACGGCGCAAGTCGGCATTCTGGTAGTGGTACAATGCTTGGGCGGAATGGGCAGGTAAGCCTTACCAAAAACGTCAAGCAGCTCAGGTTGGGGTTATGTTCACTCTCGGGCGATTCGCTTTGCCAATGTTGTGCTCGAAGGTGAAGCTCGGATCGCAGCTCAGAGACTTGGGCGTTGCCCCGGAGCAAGTTGTGGAGGAGAAGGATCCCTGGCATCTGAAAGTTTTCAAGGCAACCATCACATTGCCACAGGCAAGAGTTGTGTCATGATGTGCGATAGCCTGTTCAGTGCGAGTTTGGTCCACAAATCTACCGGAAGTTGAGATGATGAGCACCTGGTCCGCCCTTTCCCAAAAAGCCAATGCTTTTCCAACTTTGGAAAGCGCCAAGGAGGTTCGAAGTTATCTCTCCGAGGAGCTCAGTATCTTTTGCATTAAGTGCTTCAGGCTTTGGGATGTTCAGCGGTTCGGTTTTAGTGGCCCCTTGACGATGCATTTGTGGGGTGGAAGGTTTGATCATGTCTCGCAGAGTCTAGCGTTTTGACAGCCCAAGTGCTCAAGAGTCTCCTTGCGAACTACGTCTATTGGACGATCTGGAGTCAGATTTGACCTACGCGACCTCGAGATGAAGCCGTCTAGTTTGGATAAAATGCCGAGCAGCTTCGCGAGGCAGTACAGCGACAGCCCAAAGTGCAAGCTATGGCCAACGAGGTGCTGCACTCACTCCTGGGGAAAGGGTTTCGGTTTCGGGTTGTGTTATGTATGTCAAAGATGCACTTCTGTCACTGCATCGCTGAGACAATGAACCCGGAAAGCATCTTCAGAATCGTTGGTAATGAAGCTGCTCTCATTCCTTGTAACGGCAGCCTGGCATCGCGACGGCAATCGGGATGGTTTAGCAGCCATGCCTAAACTACATAGACTAAGAAGAACTGGGCCCAAGCCTCGTGCAGATGCGCACAATTTGAAGCCGCAAGCAGTGCCGGTCGGTTGCCAGGAAGGAGTGACGCTGACATGCACTCGCGGGCTGACTGGTGTCGCTGAAATCCAGGCCGTCGTGAGGTTCATAGGTTCAGTATGCTTTAGTGGTGCCGTCAGCTTTGCACTTTCACGGAGCTTGTGTGCTGTACTTGACCGTGATGTCGCTGCAGTGCAGTCTTGTTTAAAATTTCTGCTGACTGTGCGCATCTGCGCCCAAATTCCAAGCGTGCAGGTTCAGGCACAGTCAGATACCTCTTCCATCGCCCCTTGCCTGCATCGAAGAGATGTGAAATTCACTAAGTGCTGCCCATGCGGCGTCTTGTAGTCGCTTTGGACTCTTGCATCACACCTCGAAACATGCACGCACATGCTCCACGGTAGCATCGGCGAGATCGTTTGGTACAATCCAGCGAAGACAGCGCTTGATCTCTTGTCTCGAGGCTTCGGAAAATCTCGGGGAGGTGCCGGGATTGCTTGGAGGAGCTGTGGAAGACATGTGTGCTAATTCCGCGGCGGATAGCCTCGAAGCAAGTGTGCCGAGCTGGCTTAAGCAGCAGAAGCGATGTCAAAACCTCGAATCCGTAAGCCGACAAGAGGACGGGATCGAAGTCGACCCTGTTTAGGCTGGTATAGTCCAAGCAGTCCAAGTAGGCTCACCGGAGGTCCAGAATTGTTTTGGACAGATGTTTTGGTCTGCGATTCTGCTTGGGGCAAAAGAAAGACGGGGACCCACCAAGAATCACCAAGAATGATTCTGTTGCCAGGCCGAGATTTCGGTGGACCCGGCGACTTTGCAGCGTGGTGACAGCATCGGGCATGGTTGGAGCCCAAGTGTCTTCAGGGGAATGAGGCATGTATTGTGTTGTGTGGGCAGCATCCATGGCCAGGCTAGTTGTGATTGCTTGTGTTTGGGGGTCTGAAGCAGTGTCCACGGCAGTGTGGTAACGAGGGGGAACGCCCTTCGCAGCAACCTCATGACGCAGGCCCGTTTGTAATTACCGGATGAGCTCGCGCTCGAGACTAAAGTTGCAATCCGTCCTTGGACCCGAGATTCCACGAGTCCAAAGGCATCGGCAGAAGAATCCACCACCGACGTTTACACACCTGGATGGCCAAGGATCCTTTGGCAGCGTGTTCAAGGCCATGATCGCCGACTCCGGCGTTGTCATAGCTGTAAAGGCTCGTTTGTCAGCTGCTCGTTCGGAGTTTAGAGGTTTAGGATTGCAGTTTCTTCAATGCCAGCAGACTTACGGGATAGTGCCGCTGCGTTTCCGGCTTGTCTGCTACTTCTTGATCATCATGCACATACCATGGTAGCTGCATAGAGTGCAGGAGGGACCAAACAAATGTGAGGCGGTAAATGCTTGGGCTCAAGCTCGATCGCCGGGTGCGTTCTCGCGACTCTGGCCGCTGGCCATATTCTGGCGACACTTCTTAACAGCCGCCAGAACATGGCTAGTGTCGCAAAAAGTTAGATACGAGTGAACCCACCGTCCACCACGCGAAACTTTCACGGTGAACAGTGGGTTCACCGCCAAACTTTCTCAAGAGGCATCGGCGATGTATTTTGGCCGGCAACAACGGCGGTGGGAGGAACGAGGCAAGGAACACTTGGAAGAGGAGGAGAGGGTGCTCCCCCTTCCATGGCAGCAAGCTGAGAAAACGGAAGAGGCCGCGATCATGGCTTCGGCGAAGAACAGTCTGTTCTGCAGCCAAGGGGGTGGGACCGCCCTCCGTCATGCAAGCTATATAGGTAGCCGTTGGAGAGCCGACAGTTCTCTGCAAACGCCCTCTACCCTGCCTGCCTCAGCCTGGGAGGGGTTACCACCCCCGAGAGTCCTTCCTCGTACCAAGGCGGAATCTACCGCTCCCAGAAAATTGAGGACTCTCAAGAGCCTCCTCCCCTGGCTGACGCTGACGCAAGTGGCCCGGCAGCGCCAGCAACAGGTTGCAAAGGATTCGATCGCATCTACAATGAATCCCTGCGCGGCCAGACTCACCATGGGAGAGCAGCAAGGAGAGGCGTAAAGCAAAGAAGCCCCCCTGGCCAACGCCTCTGCGTTTCGGTCACGCTTTGTTGCTTCTCCTTTCAACCGCTTGGTCAAAAGGGCACATGCAAGGATACTTGCTTTGATGGAGAAACAACTGCCTGTGCATCTTGGATGTTTTCTGCCGTGTGCTTGCTGGAGAGACAGCAAGGCGGCGCCAGGATGTGTCTCGGGCGTTGCGGCGGGCTCTGCGGCCCTGGCAAAGCACATGGTGTTTCCGGAATCGGAGGTGCTAGGTGAGGTGCTTAACCGAGCTGTCACCCACGAAAACGGCCACCAGATTGTACAGTGTGGTGGGACGGTCCATGGTCTAAAGCCATCATGGCACACAGGGGCCGAGACAAAGAGGAAGTTGAGCTCAGGCTAAGCACTGTGTGGGCTGACGCTGCAGAAGCAGCGGCGTGAGCGACCACGTGGTGTGGTCTCCGAGCTCCGATATGGGAATGAATCTTCGAAGAGGTGATTGCGCGCCGAGACAGGTTTCCTGCCTGGCATTTTCTGCAGGAGCCGGCGGTGAACTAATGTGGCACAACTCATTTGTGCCTGAATGTGGACAGCTTTGATGTTTTCAGCTGTGCAACAATGCGGAAAACTGCGCTTGATGTTGAAGTCTGTGGGATTCCATCTCGCGGTCCGCACGTGAAAGCTCTGTCAAGTTTCACGCCCAACCAACTCACGAAGCAGCATCCTCATTTGGCCAGCTCGAACGTGAGAGCAGACTAGAAAGCTGCCAACACGCCTGAGTCCCGTTCTGTTTCGGGTATATTTACACTGCCACCCGGATGAGCTGAATGTTCGTCGCATGCCGCAGGCAAGTGAAATCCAATCCATGTGAAACTTCATGTGTTGTTTCTGGTGCACGCTGCTCCAGGAAGTTTTTATTGACGTGCAGAGGAAGCCTGATGAGAAGCTCAAGGCCTGCTGGTTTCGCACAACACAGCACGCGTTGGGTCTGGAGTCTGGAGAGAGACGTTCGTTTGTTGAAAGCTTCTCAAGTCTTGGAGCTGTTGGGATATCGATCTCCCGGACGTGGCAGAGGCTCAACCTGCCGTAGCAGATGAGTGCTTGTAGTCAGTATTGCATACCGGTGCTCCAGAATCCCCGGCATGCAGTGTCAACGTGTTACGGGTTTGAGAGAGTCCTAGGTTGATTGTGTTTGTGTGTGCGAAGTTCCACCCGATGCAGGTGCAACTAGAGAACGAGATTGAGGTGATGCGGAGCTTGAGGCACGGGGCGCTTGATGACATGGGCTGTGTGGTTGGGCAGGCTTCGCATAACAGTCACATCATTGTTTGCGGCAAGCATGCACTCTACATGTGTGGCACAATGCCTGCTGATAAACTGATGGCCACTGAATGATAAGAGGCACCCGCACATCGTCTCTTACTATGGCTGTCATTGGGCTGATGACCACCTCCAAATGTACCTGGAGTACATGGCCGGCGGTTCCCTTGCGCAGGCGAGACAGTCTGTCAATCCAGTATCTAGATGTTCGTGGCCTGCTTTGCCTTTGCCATCAGCCTCAGCACATCCAGTCTTAAATCCCGATTAACTCGCGAAGTCTTGACAGGTCCTTTCGAATTTCGGGCCTCTGGAGGAGTCGTTGATCGCAAGGTACACGCCATGAGCTCAAGAACGCAGCAGCGCATGTGGGAACGAGGCAAGACTTCGAAGCAGCCCAAAAAAGTTCAGAGTGCTAAACCATTGTCTGGGAAGCCTACGCAGGACAATAGAATCGAAAGTCTGGCGAAAGGCGTTGAGACTTGGACATTCGGAGGAATGTTGCGGACAAGCGACATCTGTGGTGCCATACGACGAGGAGCGAGCTAGAACACGACAAGCGGGCCATCGAACGACGGGGTCTATGCGATCCAGCATAATATATATAGACCAATGGATGTTACAACATACAATGCATGAGCAAGCAATCAGGCAGGCAGGCAGGCAGCCAAGGAAGGCAAGCAAGCAAGCAAGCAATTAGAGAAGTTCAACAATAAGCAAACAGAAAGGACTGTTGTGAGGTGGAGTTTCACGACTTATCCAGGCATCGGAGTGTAAGTAAAAATGTATATACACGCAGACACTGACATATGTATATATATATATATAAATATATATATATATATATATATATATACATACATACATACATACATACATAAATACACGCAAACTTGTACGCGTAAGCAAGTCAGAGAGGACTTTGGACTATGTTTGCTTGCTTGCACTTACACGCTTCAGCATCACACTTCAAATATTAAGACAACACTCCACCTGACAAAAGTCCCCACTCCAAGCAATATCAACAACTAAATTAGATACACAAAACAAGTGAGCAAGTAAATGAGCATATATAGAGCCACGAAAACGAACAAACCAATAAACAAACATGCAACTTGACCGGGCCAGACTCACCCCCGGACACACCAGAAAAGACTTCTTTGGGCTTCCCTGAGCCTGATCGTTTCGCTCCCCAAGGCAGCAGCTGCTACTTGGCCTGGGTCCCAGGACGGGCCAACATGGCAGCAGCTACACTCCAGTGGAGTTTGTGGTATTCGGGGGGGCGGGGCAGGCTGTTGACGCAAATATACTCATGTGCATCACCCACCATCCGTGTTTCAGTCACATGGGACCATGCAAGCGCATTCTCGATTCACTGAAGGGCTCCGACGTAGCTAACATTTCAGATTGAGGGCCTTGTGCTGCACTCCGGCACGGGCACGCCCCAGGAAAGACATGACATCAAATTTTCGCAAGTCGCAGATTCCCAGGATGCAACTAAGACACTGCGCTGTCAAAGCGCTTCAGCAGCTCTTCAGCCAAGCTTGCCAAGCTCATCTCCTGCTTTGTGAGGTCTGGAGTATCTGCACACGCAGAACCCCTACATCTTGCATCGTGACATCAAGGTGCCATGAAAGCCATAGTGGAAGCCGCAGCTTTGGTGAAAACACATCTGAAACATGAGAGCAGTACTTGCTTGTTCGCGTTGGCGTTGTGGTTGCTACAAGCTTTTTGCTATACGAGTGCGGAGAGTGGAGTGCTAAAGCAAGGCTGGTTTCGTGTGATGGTTTCACCTCGACTCTAAGCCCAGAGTTGAACAGGCCCGAATTCGTACAGCCTAGCAGAGTACCATGAAGGGTGCGAACGTCCTCGTCGGTCTGGACTCCCTGGCGAAGCTGGCAGATTTCGGGTGCTCCAAGCGAGCCAAGGCAGGCTTTCACTGGCCGTTTGCCTGACTTGCAGTCGGTTTGGACTTGCAGACCCATCGCTGCCTGTGCAGGAAACAACATCTGTGACCATCGAAGGCTCCATTCCATGGATGGCGCCTGAGGCGCGCTGTGCATTGCGAGCAACCATCTGACAGAAAATGGTGCTGCTAAACGTGAAAAACGGACCTGAGCCATAGGTCCCATAGGTGTTTTGCAGATTGATAAGTCCGCCATCTTTGTAAATCTCCAACCGCGACCGCTTGCAAAATGTGGGTTTGCTGCTGGCCTGATTGCTTAGTGGGTTGTGGAGACTCAGAGGCAAGAGTTGGTGAACCACGGCATGGCAGAAAAGAAGCTTGAACTTCTGCGGATGAATGCTTGAAGGTCCTGACGCATTCGCGCTACGGGCGAGCAGGCCAGCTAAGATCAGAAGATTTAGGTTGGCCGGGCTCCACAGCCCAGTGTACGTAAGGCTGCGAGACTGGAGGAGGCCCAAAGCTTCCAAGGCTCCAAGGGCCTCGACGAATCTTCCGACTTAGATTTGCATCTTTTTCGAAGTCGTGCAAGGCAAGCCTTACGAAGCCATAGTCACCCGAGCCAGCGCTGCCGAGGTGACATCTGGAGCTTCGGATGCCTGGTGATTGAGCCGCTAGTCATCAGGGGCGGTGCGGGTCGGCGGCTTGCACCTCGGATCTCTCTTACAGAGACACCGAGGATGGCGACTGCAGACTCGCCGTGGGGTCACTTCGACAACTTGATGGCAGCGTGCGGATCTTAGTTTTCTTCATTGTTGTTCTTTGTGCTGTGGTTCGGACTCGTGCTTCGTTTTTTTCTTCATCTCGCTCTTTGTGTTGCTTGTTGGGGTGCGGGGCCCGCACTTTTTTTTTTTCTTACCGTTTGGCGGGCCCCGGCGGCCCTTGGTAACGTTGTCGGTAAGTTAAGGATTCTAAAAAATTTAAATGCTGGCCTCCGGCCTCCAGCCCAGCCCAGCCCCGCCCAATTAAGTTTTTAAAATCCTTCGAATCCTCAAAATTTAATTGGCCGCCCAATTGAATTTTAAGGA